CAAAGCTTTCGCACTCGTAAAAGTTAAACCCTTCCAGATGTGGAATGAGGGTTGCCTAGAAATGTCGCTGTGAGGTGACTGGGACCAATGAAATTCGAATATGGCTTTTCGGCGCTTTTCCGACGTCAGGGGTTTGCCTTTTGGGGGACGAATCGGATCGCCGTATTCAATTCAAAATTCTGAACAACTACCGGTTGCGGGGGTATTTTTGGCCTCGCTTGTGATGTTGGACTATTCCCATTTCCAGCAATGCGTTTCGTACGCAGGAATGGTGTTATCTAGCAAGGGACGATGTCTTGCGCTTGCGCAGGACTCCGCCCTTAGTTAGCTTTTTGGTTGGTTGATTGATTGGTTGGTTGGTTGGTTAGACTTGTTAAGTTTTGGTTCTTCAAATCGCGCACACACGTTCTGCTTGTACCTTTAAATTTCAGTACAAAGACAAGCAGCCGAATCTTCGCGCTGCCTCGCAATAAGTGCAATTGGTTGTACATCAGTGTGTCTCAAGACTCAATAAAAGTGGACATCTCGAAGATAAAGTCAGTGTCGTCTTCAGTTGCTCAAGCCCAGAGATTTGGCTTCCTTCGCGCAAATGCCGCTCCAACCATCGGCTTCCCCGTACATTCCCTGAGACTCGGAGGCCCTCGCTCACCGACAAACCCCGCACCAGATATTCTTTTACGTCCTTCCGCATACCCAAAAATATGTCTCAAGTTGTAACCGCACGCGAACAGGGCCCGCTACTGGGTTTGAACCCGCGGCTACTTCAGTTGAGCGACGTGTGCGGAAGTGGCGCGTACAACGTGGGACCCGAAGAAGCGGTGGAGCTGTGAACAAGTCGCTACAACTTTCGCAGCTACAGACGTTCGAACCGAGGACTACAATCTTCGACGACTTACCTATTCAGGTTAGTGAGAAGCAACATGGCTTCTAGGGTGCCACGAAGTGAGAGGGCGTGCGGCGAAACCGAAGACGAACAATTAGTGGGGAATCCAGTAGCTGAGGTTGAGGAAGTATTAGAATGTAATACAACAGGAGGAGAAAACGTAAGATCTGTAGGTTCAGTTGATGTGAATAGCAAGAAGGGGGGGGGGCAGCAGATCAAAATGTGCAGACAAATCTAATAAACGTTATATGGCAGCCTCTGCAGGTAGACAGAGAAAACAGAAAACAGGACAAAGATGAAAGTGAAAGGATCAGGAAGGAAACTTTAGGGACATTGCAGGATAGTATTATCTGTTATCTGAAAAATTGAAGACCGAGATTAGTAAACTAAATGAAAGTATTAATAAGAGAATAGCAGATGCAAATAATAAATCAAAGCGAGCTGTAATCTCTCTGAAAAAGGACACTCAGCAACAAATTAACAGTATGAATGATAAAGTGGACCAAGTGAATGAAAGTATGAATGAAGAATTAAGAACGCAAGTGTCCGAAGCCAAGGCGAACCACGAAAGGTAGGATAGGAACTCAGGGCCGAATATGAGGAATATTCATAAGCAAATTTCGAGTCTTAAGGGGGGAGTGACGGAGGAAAAAATAAACCTGTTTCGGGAGCAAGTGAAGGCTGCTAGCAGGGACAGCGTAAAGAAATTAGGAGAATCTTCGAGCAGGTTAGACAAAATTCAGGAACAGGTAACTGCAGTGTGTCTCTTCTTCCTCTACTTCTTCTTGCAACATTCCTAACTTCTGTACTCGGCGAGCATAGAGCGAAGAATGTGGAACAAAAGAACGACTGTTTAGTCGTACGTGTGCGCATGCTCATGGACTGAACTGTCGTGTCGTTATGGGTCGTATGCTTCAGCCGACAACGACAGAACCGTCAGCCGACGGTTAAGTCTTACGTGTGCGCTGGCCCTTGCTTGACAGGAATTCGTTTGAGGATTTCGAAGAGACGAGACGACGCTTTCTATTGAGAATATAGGCGCGCAAAAGTAATGCAAGTCCCCCTCAGAAGTGACTGTAATTGCTAGTACAGTCAGTGCTAAACCTATTGGAGACCACTTAGGTAGCCAGCATCCCCCGGCCGACAGGGCAGAAAGGAAAGTGATAGAATGAGATTAGAAAACGAAAGAAAAACTGAGGAAATTAGGAAACGGGAGAAGGAGGAAAGGGAAGAACTCGAAAGAGAAGAAAGCAGGAAAGGAAGGAAAATAGAGAAAGACGAGATAAATTGCAAAATGACATTGCACAAATTCCAGAGCAGTTGTCGAAACAGTTCAGGTCCCAAATAGCGAGCAGGTTTTTACAAAAATGAAAGATGAAACCAGAAAGTTTAAGGAGTCTGTGGCTGCCCTGCGGCACATGTCGGAGGCAGAAAGTACGTAATACTAGGACATGGTGGTTAGAGCAGTAGCTCAGTTCAGAGATCGTCTTCTACGCCTGTAGTTAATTTTGAAACCCGACAAGAGAGCGAGAGGATAACGAATGAATGTGATAGTAGGTTGAGCAACCTTTGTAGCGGTAGCGACCATGTGCCAGTTGTGTCAGTCACTATTGGCAACGCTGACGGTGAGGCGCACAGACCGCGTGAACTTGACGAGCTAACCCATCATCAATGCCCCAGCCACGTTTTGAACGACATTGTGTTGCCAAAATTATTCGATTGTCACAAACAAAACGTAGTGCAATTCTTGGTGGAGCTGGATGATTACTATCGTTTAAATTCCGTCCCAGAATCATTGAAGTTACAGGTCGCGGTAAAGGCGATAGTGGTTGACCGCAGTGTACGAGGTCTCGACAGACTCTGACCACACTTTCGACCCCGGCGGAGGGCAGAGGCCGGACAATGATCAAAACAACGGCCGAAATCATTCGGAAACGACCGCAGGATGATGTAGAGGGCCAAACATTATCCGGTTATGAGGGTAGGCACCCACGTTCAACACTGAGTCTGAGGCTAAGAGATGAAAAATTGGGAGTGCCTGACGTGAATCGTGCAAGTGAAAATTTTAATTTGGAGTTTGGAGGAGACGCAGATAACATCACTGTATAATACATCAATAAGGGAAATCTTCAAGGTTGTCCTCACGTAAAGATAAAGATAGGAAGTAGAGAAAAAGTTGTTCTGATTGACAGCAGAACAGAAGTAGGCGTGATGTCTGAGAGAGAGAGAGAGAGAGAGAGGCTTAAAGTTCCTGTTTATTCTTAGCAAATTGTGTGTTGTCATCGGCATGGCAATCAAGGTCAAGAGCAAGCTTGGCTTGAATTCGGATTAGGGCGTGACCTATTTGAGCTGGACTTCATGACAGCGCCACAGTTGACGACAGAAGCAATATCGGGAGCAAATTTTTAGGTTGAGTACCAGGTGATAATGGATTTTGCTAATAGAAGTTTTTCAATGAAGAAAGAGGGTATTGTAACTAGACACAAATTCTTTGTCAATACGATGGCAGGGGGAGGGCGGTATCGAACCCGAACAACTTAGCAGATTTTCCTCAGTCGCTGCAAACATTAGATCAAGACCGATCTCAACCTGGCGTGAGTGTTAAAGGCAAAATATTATGTTTAAATATTTTATTAATTATTAATTAATGCGGTTCAGACCTGTTAATGAGATGATTGAGCTTGTTTCTGCCGCCCAGATAAGAATTACATTAAGGAGAGAGCGAGAAAAAAATGGCCTTCCCAAATCGAATGTCCTTAGGTCCTGTTCTCCTGTGGCTAACCCTAATTCTGGCCCTGATTATTCAGTGTTTATCACAAAACAATATATATATTTTGTTAAATTTCACGTACCCCCGGGGGTACGCGTACCCCAGGTTGAATACCACTGCCCTAGTCCACTTGATAGTAAACATTCCTCCTGCACCGCCCCAGGAACGACTACTCCCCGCAGGGCTTTTCTCCTGGTCTGTGGACAGTAAACCCTTTGTTGCTTGGAGTTCGTCGTGAAGACGTAAATGTTGAAGATAGTGGGGCGTGGTTCCCCGACACTTTAAATATTATTAGGAATTACGAGAGTCCTGAGGAAGGATCAGATGCTGTAGTCCAGCATCATAATTGTGATGAGACTTCGAGGGATGGCTCGGCGCTTCAGGAATGCGACCACGGTTGGGATACAGAGCAGGGCGATGCTAGATCTGTTAAATTTGTTGAATGAAACTCGATTAGAGCCGACGGACTGGAATGGATGAGGACACATATTTGGAACTGTTAAACTTAGGATTTGAAGTTCTCGGTGGCTGGTTGAGATGACTAAATGCTACAAGCCTTGCCTTTACCCTCGTCTCTGCCCACACACGTTGCGACTTGTAAACATTCAGTAAGTCTCGAGGCAAAAAGTCAAACGACTGCAGATTTATCGGGGGCTCAGTTTCCGGCGAAATTCAACACACACACGCTCCGGTTTGCCTTCAGAGACGTAAGCCTTCCGGTAAGCCGTAGAGTGTGTGGCCACCCTTAAGATTGCCTCACACTGGCACAGTGATTTAATCTATAATATTATGACAACCCGCACAGAAGACATTACAGGTGGACTCACTACACGCTACTCTTAACTGCTCGATGTTTTCAGTTTGTGTGTAGTAGTGTAAAACTCTGGCGTGTCACACTTCCCACCTATAGCAGTGATATTCAACCTTTTTTGTTCGCGTACCCCCAGATATAATTTCTCTTCAACATTGTACCCCCAAAGTATAATTTGTATAATTCAAGTTATACATAGTATATAATCTACATCCAAAATAAATTAAATAAATTACATCCAAAATAATGTATTAAATAATAAGATTTTAAAAAAGGAAAATCAAGCTATTAAACAACAAATACATTATTGTCTATCATACAAAAATTAATAAAGGAACGAAGGTATTTTAGCAAAGCAAAATAATATGTTTAAATATTTTATCAATTATTAATTAATGCGGTTCAGACCTGTTATTGAGATGATTGAGCTTGTTTCTGCCGCCCAGATAAGAATTACATTAAGGAGAGAGCGAAAAAAAATGGCTCTCCCAAATCGAATGTCCTTACGTCCTCTTCTCCTGTGGCTAACCCTAAATTTTGCCCTGATTATTCAGTGTTTATCATAAAACAATATATATATTTTGTTAAATTTCACGTACCCCCGGGGGTACGCGTACCCCAGGTTGAATACCACTGCTCTAGTCCACTTGATAGTAAACATTCCTCCTGCACCGCCCCAGGAACGACTACTCCCCGCAGGGCTTTTCTCCTGGTCTGTGGACAGTAAACCCTTTGTTGCTTGGAGTTCGTCGTGAAGACGTAAATGTTGAAGATAGTGGGGCGTGGTTCCCCGACACTTTAAATATTAGTAGAGTTTACGAGAATCCTGAGGAAGGATCAGATGCTGTAGTCCAGCAT